CCCCACCTTGTCTGCCCAAAGCTGGTCCTATGTTTAGATACATTAAGTTAGCAGATGAATCAAATTGATTGGAAATTATTTTGTTAGAATGTTTATTTGTCAGGAATGGGAAAAATATTTGCGGTACTGTCTCTTCATTATTAAAATAATTTTACTGGTCAACAAGAGTAGACCAAGAAGTGCCATTTACTCTGCCTCAGAAGTGGGGGAAACCTGTAGGCTGATCTCCCTGTGCTCTTTCTGTATCTTCTGCCTTGATTTGTTCTCTTATTGTTTCATCTTTGAAATATGTGAAATACTTTCTATTTAGGCATTTAGGTATGCATTAATGTGCAGATGGTAAAGCAATAGACAAACATGTTCCTAACAGAGCTTCCAGATGCTTAAATTAGGGCAGAATATGTATTTTTTATCTCATTCTTTTCTGTCTTAAAAAATGGGAGTCAAAGAAGACAAACAAGGAATTCCAAGTTCTTGTGTTTATATTTTAATGTGAAGGAAGGAAAATGTAGGAGAGAGAACTGATAAGGAATTGAAGGACATAAATAACTTATCCATTCAACCCTCTTTCCAACCTCCCATTAAACCCCCTCCCAATTTAAATGGACTGCCTACTCCAGTATTTCTCAAACTTGGGAGCTTTTAAGATGTATGGCTTTCCATACCATAATTTCTCAGCGAGCCTGGCTGGTTGGGGAATTCTGGGAATTGAAGTTGAAATCCACACTCTTTCAATTTGCTAAGTGAGAAACTGGCCTTGATTGAGGGAGGGTTTTTGGGTTTTTAAAAACCTTGCATTTAGCTTGATGGCAATTTTGGTGGCCAAAGATGATGTCCGATATAGAGCAGTATGTAAAAAAATGCCACGTCTGCGCAGTGTCAAAACCAAGACAGGGTAAGCCATTAGGGTTGTTACAAACAGTATCCAAACCACAACATCCATGGCAAGATATCGCCATGGATTTTATTGTGGAGTTACCAAACAGTAATGGTCATACAGTTATATGGACTATCATCGATTTATTCTAGAAACAGGCACATTTTCTACCTTGTAAGGGTTTACCATCAGCTAAGATGCTAGCCAATATGTTTATACAACAGGTTTACAGATTACATGGAACCCCTCGATGAGTGATTTCTGATAGAGGAATACAGTTCACTGCACAATTCTGGAGAGCATTCCTCCGCTTGTTGGGGTCATCCCAGGAATTAAGTTCAGCCTATCCAAGCACGAATGGCGTAGCAGAAAAAGCGAATGCTATGATAGAAAGATAGTTAAGATCATATGTGTCCTATCAACAACAGGAATGGGCAGAGTTGTTACTGTTTGCAGAGGTCGCGTATAATAACGCGGTATACAGTAGTACAGGATACAGTCCATTTTATGTGGTGAATGACCTGGAATTCAGCCCATTACCGGATCTTACTTGTCACCCCAATGACCCAATCAGTGTCCAAGAATGGGCACAATGAGTACAGGCTAGTTGGGTACATGTCAGAAAAGCTCTGGATAAAACAGCGATGGATTATAAAACATATGTTGATAAGAAGCGGCAAGACCATAAACCTTTTCAGGTTGGGGATAAAGTATGCCTTTCAACAAAATATATTAAGTTGAAATTGAACAGTAAGAAATTAGGACCCAAATACTTGGGCCCATTCTCAATTACAAGAATCATTAACCCTGTCACAGTCGAGTTAAAGTTACCAGCAATGTTGGGTTGTATACACCCATTGTTTCATATCAATTTATTGAAAACCATTAACTCTCAAAATGACGCGCCATGAAATAGAAACCCCAAACCATCAACCAAATACGGATCAGATCGAAATAGATAGAATTCTCAACTCCCATAAAAGAAGGAATAATATTCAATATCTAGTACGCTGGAAGGGATATCCAGTGTCAGAGGTGTCCTGGGTGAAGACATCAGATGTATATGCAGATCGTTTAGTGTACCATTTCCATAATACATACCCCTACAAACCTGGGCCCACATTGTAATTAGATTAACTATCATGGATGTCACTAATATTAATGTTTTTACTGTGTTGCAGGTGGATTCCTGATAGAGGGGGCCACCTGTCACGGCCCCGTGGCATGCTGGAGCCATGACACTGAGTGTTCCACTGTGTCTGGGTATTCTACTGCAGTAGTAAGCACCTGCCGGCCGACTGACACTGGGTCGGAGTTGCCGACAGCGATAGACGACGAGTCCTGATGACATCAGATGCTGAACTATCACAAGTTGTGGGCGGCTATCGGCAGAGCGATGAACCGGCTGACAGTTAAAACAATGACCTTGGGGGGCACATATAAACCGGGACGGCACAGGGGACTTGGTGGAATATAGAAAGTGTACTGTGGTGAGGGTATGGTAAAGGAGGGTTAATTAACAGAAAAATGCATGGATCAAGGTTAACCAGAAATTAAGCGGTAGCAGCCATTGCATGGTGGATAAACTCATTACGTTATTATCTGATGGATAAATACAGCTCTGGCTGTGAGGTGCACCAGAGCTGACTTTACTATCATTTTTTTGGTGTTTGTTGTTACTTGAACCCAGACTGATATATGGATGAATAAAGACTTGTCTATGTGCTATGGAGCTTTATTTCTTTTTCTTTCTGGATTTCAGCTGAACAGCTGAGACATACATTCATACATACATACATACATACATACATACATACATACATACACACACATATACTTTATATGAGCCCAAATTATATTTGCTAGTATAATACTACAAGAAGAAAACAGATTGCATGAGTGCAGAATTATAATCATTTATTACTAATCCACTTAATTGTCTATTGGAAAACTGAAAGTTGTGGCATGGCTGAAAATTGCCATGTTTATAGAAGGAATTCGATTTAATGGCTGGATTCACACATTGCATAATAGTGGCCCAGTACAGATTTAACACAGAATTATAGGCATGACCTACAAACCACTGTGGCAGAATCCAACATCAGGCTAAGACAAAACCAAACCAAGTTATGGTTTACTATGATCTGCAAACCCCTAATGTGCAGAGAAAACATTGTTGCATACTATTTCTAGGGTTTATTATTATTTTTTAAAAAATATACCTCCATTATTCAAATTTGCTAAAATCTCTTCGTTGTTGTTAGTTGTTGTTAGTTGCGAAGTCATATCCGACCCATCACGACTCCATGGACAACTTTCCCCCAGGCCTTCCTGTCCTCTACCATCCCCCGGAGTCCATTTAAGCTCACACCTACTGCTTCAGTGACTCCATCCAGCCACCTCATTCTCTGTTGTCCCCTTCTCCTTTTGCCCTCGATCTTTCCCAGCATTAGGCTCTTTTCCAGTGAAGAGTCCTTCCTTCTCATTAGGTGGCCAAAGTATTTGAGTTTCATCCTCAGGATCTGGTCTCTAAAGAGCAGTCAGGGTTGTTCTCCTCTAGAACTGACCAGTTTGATCGCTTTTGCAGTCCAAGGGACTTGCAGGAGTCTTCTCCAGCACCATAGTTCAAAGGTCTCAATTCTTTGGCGCTCAGTCAAAGTTATGGTCCAACTTTCACAACCATACATTGCAACTGGAAAAACCATAGACTTGACTATACACATTTTGTTGGCAGAGTGATTACTCTGCTTTTTAGTATGCTGTCTAAATTTGCCATAGCTTTCCTCCCCAGGAGCAAAATCCATTAGCAAATGTATTTCTCTTAGTTGCGCAATGCAGTGAAATACAGGCAGAATTCCCTTTTTTCCTTGGCCCATCTTTAGTGTGGCCTGGCATGCCTCATCCTCTCCAGCAGCTATTCACATAGTCCTATATAGCCATTTCATCCTGGGCTCCAGACAGCTATGTTCTGTGCTGGGCTTTGCAGTTGGGCTTTTTAGAAAATAATATTTTAATTGATCCAACTATGACCTGTTAAATCAATGACTGCCATCAATATTAGAAATTCATGCTCACTTCACTCCTGGCACCCTTTGGTTCCTGTTCAGGCTGGAGGAAGCATGGACCCATAGAAATAGCTGGGAACGGTGCAGGAAAACATCAGTTTAAAACTGCAATATAGAATTACCCTAAGTAGCATCATACAGCAGACTTGGACAACTGTTGAGCCATACCACTCTGGCAGGGCTCAGCAGTACAGTATCACTTGTACAGTATCACTTGCACCACAGCCTTCATTGGCTGTGTTTGAGAGCTGCTTTTCAAACTTCACATAATGTCCTGAACAAATATTATATTAAGGGAATTAGAACTGCATCTTTAAGCCACTGACGAGGAAACAAGGCATGTTATTACTAATTGACTCTTGCCATTGGTCTGATATAAGAAATCTTGAGTCAGTGGGCAATCTGGTTATCCAGGGCAGTAGGCAGTGTCCATCCATCCATCCATCCATCCATCCATCCATCCATCCATCCATCCATCCATCCACTATGTATCCTGGCAGAAAGGTATCAATGATAAGCAGTGGAAAGTTCAGCAGCAAATCCATGTAACAGGCCTTAGTATTCCTTAATGCACTGCTATGCAATTTCCCAGAAAAAACTGGGATCTAGCCTTTGGACTACTGCAACTGAGGTGAATAGAGAAGAACTCGAATCACCTTTCTCACCTTGATAGGAATGGACTTCAATCTCCATAATTTCAGCAGGTAAACCCTGCACACGAAAAGGGCATCTTAGAAATGCAGGATCAGAAGAAGGGCAAAACTTAGGCTGCACCTATGAAGGAGGATGCTTCCTTTCAGAAGCCAAAGTTTGTCCTAAAGAATGCTTTAGCATCTCATTGTCTCCTCATTTTCCAACAGTCTGAATCACCAAATAATTTTTCTGAATCAAATATGTGTGGATCCCAATCTGTTCTTTCAAAGGAGAGCTTTTCTTGAACAACAGCAGGGAGAGGTAGCAGCTCTCAGAAACTGTGTGTTTAAAAAAACAAAAGAAAGAAAGAAAGAAAGAAAGAAAGAAAGAAAGAAAGAAAGAAAGAAAAAGAAAGAAAGAAAGAAAGAAAAAGAGGAAAAGTTTGAGGGAAGAAGAGCGAAGCTACTCCTGATTCGATTGTTTACCATCAGTCACACGATTCCTTGCCAGGGACTGGATGATTATTAGGCTGAAGAAGCTGAAAGGGGGCAGGAAAAGAACTGGAGGCAGCATTCTTCCTATTTAAAGCTGCATCACTTGAGGGGGGAAAAGTGTTTGCAGGCTGCGCAAGAGCCAGAGCTGGTTAAAAAGAAAAGGCAAGCGAGAGAGGAGCTTGCAGACTTTCCGTGTGTCCTGTGGGAGTGCTAAAAGAAAAGAGCTGCCTTATGATGTCCATATGATCTTCTTTTGTACACTTTTTGTTTTGCACTTTTCCTCCGAGGAGGATATACATGTCTAATATTTAGACATGATGGCCATCTGGACCCAAAGAAGAACGTTTGTCATTCTTATTGCTTTTCTAGGACATTTGGGGACGATACGAACACAAGAGGAGGACGAGTTTGAAGGGGGTGAGTTTCTTTTTAGAGTGCCGAATGTCACTTTTGTGCTTTGAAGCTCTGAAATAAAAGTGGACTTAGAAATGCAGGATGCTCTCTGTATATTTGTGGGGGTGTATTGTGAACTAGAGGATTGATAGGAAACTGAAAAGTCAGTTAATGGGAAATGGGTTTTAAAAGCTAACGTTTTTCCCCCCTCCTGCCATCTGCACGGAGGACAAGAAAGAGAGGAAGAACAATGGGGAAAAATCCATCGAGCTCTTAGGGATAAATGCAGTTATGCAGGCTTTATTTCTGTGTAAGACGTTTTTAAAAAGAAGTCTTATTACTGTTTGTAATAAGTTTGCAGTTGTGATGAAACGAATGCAGCCCTTGGAGACAAGCCTAAACTTTCTGAACAGAGGGAGAGGGAGAGAAGTAAACACAAGGAATTGGAAGGGTGGAGTCCTTTTGCACTGCCTAAACTACATCTGTTTTATTCAATTCTTTGTTAGCGAGAACTGCACAGAACTTCTTTCTTTTTTGGTTCCCTTTCCCCCTGCTGCTTCTCTGACTTTCTCTCTGCATTTCTTTGCTTCTTGGAAATAACCGTTCCCCCGCTTTTCCTAAGTGACTCGTCTTGATGAAATCCAGACTTTATGACACACTGTTCTTTCACCCTTCTGGCTGGGCTATCAGCACCCTGCATTTTGCTCCCTGGTGCTTGAGGACAGGAAGTCTAGTCAGGAAGCAAAGTATTTGTCTTCGTGGCATGGCGATGGATTCCATTTAGCCAGCATGTTGGCTTCCAGTTCATATCGGTTCAAGGTTAACGTTGGGAGGATTTCTAAATGGCTTTCTGTGACACCCACTTGGAATTCAGCTGTTCCAAATTTGTTCTGGCTAGATTAGAAACTCAAGTGGAACTGCGAAAAGGATGAGGATTTTATTTTGCTTATCTGCATTTGCTAAAACGCCACACTGATTTGTAAGAAATTGGAATGGTGGATAAGGTTTGTGTGTGTGTGTGCGTGCATGTGTGCATATGTGAATGTGTATCTGCAGATTGTTGGACTGTATTACTAAGATGGCTTGGATGCTTTTGGGCAGGACACCTTGCATGCCCAACTTTTTGGATGGACAGTCAAATATGAACAAGGTCAGAAGTCCCCCCCCCCCCCCTTGCTGGAAGTCCAATAGAGATAAGGATGTTGCTGAGCTGTACAATGTACAAGGAGACCTCTAGAGGGTGCCCTTTATGTAATCAAAGTGGGCTCTAAGATAATGTCAGATTTGCATGGGACATGCTTCAGAGAAATAGATTTGCAGTGGAAAGACAAGGCCACTACCCAAATTCACAGCCCGGTCCTATGCAGCCTTCCCTTGAAATGTGTGCCATGGAATTAATGGGATTTGGAGGGCAATCCTTAGGAAGCACTAAATTCCATTGATTTAATGGGGCTTATTTCTGGGCAAGTGTGAATCAAATCAGCCAATCCTTTCTCACTGTTAAAAGACAGACAAACATGACAGTGGAACTTCAAGCATAATATTTTTAACTGCCAAAGAAATTAAAAGGCATGCCCTGAACAAGCTGTTTAAGCGGGGTTAGGTTAGTACACGCCATTTGTTTTGTTTATGTACAGCCTGGGGGTATGCCAGTGATCTTGTGTTGGGCAACACATTTTCCACTATATGTCATATGCAGGGAGATTTTCATTAAACAGTCAGGAGGCCAAAATATGAACTATTTGTACTAGGATTGAAATGTTTAAATGTTGTCTTGTGCAATAATGCGATTAAGCCCTTGCATTTTTAAGGGCTGCCAGCCTTCTAAAATCAGAACCTAACTCAGTCCAGCTGTAATCTTGTTTTTTGTGGAAGGTTACCAGCTTATTTCATGGTAAGGATTATCTGATGTCATGATCTCTTTTTCAGAAACAACGTGTCTTCATAAGTCCAAATAATACTGTACATTGTATTTTATATAGGATTACCCCAGGCCAGAGAATGCAAAAGCTACTGAAAACCCAGCTCACAAAATCCATCAACCATTCTCACAGCTGCCTTTACAAGCTGGATGGCAATTTAGAGATAGAGTGCTGTCTATAATCCATCCTTCAATGCCTGCTCAGAGAAAGAAAAGAGGCTTGGAATCCCTAAGTTTTTCCTTACTCTCCCAGGATCTGAGGGCCTCATTTTCAGCTGGGTGGACATTACCACCCTTAGTTATTGCTTTGGCTTATGACTCACTACTTGCATACATTTAGTGAACCTGTGAACCTCCATAAATTATCGAACTAGAAGTATCACTGAGCCAGCCAATGTGATTAGTGTTGAGAGATGCTGGGAATTATGGCTTAGCAATATCTTAAAAACCACTGATTTTAACCCCAGACCTAAATGTTCTATTCTGAATTCTCTCAATCATCAGTAGTGTGGGAATGGTTGACTGGTAATCAGTTGTGCTTTTCCTTAATTCTAATGTTCAAAGTGTGGCTGGGGGCCTTTCCCCCCTTTTAAAATGGACCTCTAATCTTTTTTTTTTTCTATGTAGAAGTAATTGCGTCTCACCTAGCCATCCTTTCCTTCCTCTCGTTTTATCTATAGTTTACTGTGCTTCAGATTATTCTTTCTTCCTAGTTTTGAAAGTTTTGGCCCCCTGCTTCCTTTTAAAAAGCTGAATCCAAAGCCGTGGGAGTTACCCTCAATGGAAAATATTTGACTTATTTTATGAACTGTTAAAGCAAATATTGACCAATTTTCTGGACAGATATGGAATGTTATACTTCATTGATATTATGAACAAAACTTTAACTTTGCATTCATTCAAAATCTGGTGGAATTGGTGAGATAAATGAAATTAGTATTTATTTATTAATTTTATATGCCAGTTTTCTGCATACCAAGGGACCTCAGATATAGAATCAGTAAAACAAGGTAGCCATCAAAATTAAGGGGAAAGAGAAGATTAACCCTAAATTCCTTGCAGATGCAGAAAGAATGGTGTCTTATAAACAGAGATGGGCTATATCAGAAGTCTCCAAATGTGGCAACTTTAAGACTTGTGGACTTCAACTCCCAGAATGCCTATGCTGGCTGAGGAATTTGGGGAGTTGAAGTCCACAAGTATTAAAGTTGCCAAGTTTGGAGACCCCTGGGTTATATTGTGGCTCCAAGTACCATGTGGTGCTAAGGAGTGTTTTAGGATGTGATTTGGCTATCCAATTATTCTGTACATTTCCTACATTGGTCTGAGTCCAGAGGTGGTATTCAACAGGTTCTGACCAGTTCTGGAGAACCGGTAGTGGAAATTTTGAGTAGTTCAGTAGTCCACTTCTGACTGGCCCCGCCCTATCTATTCTCTGCCTCCCAAGTCCCAGCTGATTGGTTGGGTCTTCTTTTGTTGCCCTGCACAGGAGAATGGAGCTGGAAAGCAGGTTAGTGGCATGAGGAGAGAGTGGGGATTTTACAGTATCCTTCCCCTGCCATGCCCACCAAGCCACGCCCACAGAACCGGTAGCAAAAGAATTGGAATCCCACCACTGTCTGTGTCATACTTTACTCAGCCAAAATGACTGCATTTGCACCAAATGCTAATCCACAAAGTATGGCATATAAACCAGAACAGTTGTAGTAGCAGAACATTTTTAGAATGATTAATGAACCCGGTCAATAGATAAACTGCCCATGAAGTTTACAGTATATAAAAAAGGGGGAAAAAATCAGCCAATTGTACTCCCCAGACTATACTGTTTTTTTTCTTGTGTGGAAAAAGAACAAACATAAAACTGTAGTGTGCTTTATTTTCCTCAAGGAAAACTGGGACCTCAAGTATATGTTCACAATGGCAGCTTTTCAAGGGGTAAACCTAAATCGTTGCTACCAGTGTTTTTAATAGAACATGCAGATAGATTCTTAGCCTAGGACAGTGGTGGTGAACCTATGGCATGCATGCCACAGATGGCATGCAGAACCCTTTCTGTGGGCACGTGTGCCAATGCCCCAGCTCAGCTCCACCATGCATGCGCGCGTGCCGCCTGCTGGCCAGCTGGCCTTTTGGTCTCTGCATGTGACGCATCTGGCCTGCGGGTCGCCAGCTTGACAAGTGGTTAGACGGTCTAGCCACTTTGAAATAAAAGCTAAAGATACACAAACTTGGAGGTGTCTTCATTTTAAGACCTCTGTATGTTTAGAGTGCCCTTTGGTGTAGTGCTTAAGGTGTCTGGCTAGAAACAAGGAGTTCTAGGCCTGCCTTAGGCAAGAAAGCCAGCTGGGTGACCTTGGGCCAGTGTCTTTCTCTCAGCCTTAGGAAGGAGGCAATGACAACCATTTTTGAAAAACCTTGTCAAGAAACCTTGCCAAGAGAACTGAGGCAGTTCTCAAGAATCAGACATAAATAAATGGAAGGGAGAAAAAATCTTCCTTTAGCCATGGAAGAGTCACTCCTGCACCCTTCCAATGTGATGAATCCCTTGTATCTGACTATACTGACTGGTACAGTGTAAAATCTAAAACCTTTGAAGGATATGAGGTTGCCCTTCCCTGCTTGTCACTATGTGATCAACAAGAGAAATCAGATGTCAGTAATATGAGTTTGCTGCAAAATCCTGTGTGTATGTTTACTCAGAAACAAGACCCACCTTGGTCAATAGGCTAACCTTCCACTTGGACCATTATTACTAACTAATATACTATATAATTATTACCTACTAAGTGAAAAGGAAATAATTATTTATACAGCTCCACTCATAGAAACTAGAACGACAGCAATTTCCACAACTATTTGGCATTTCTCGACTTTACACTGTGAGGACCAGACATGTTACTCATAATTCTGCAAACTTAATCCCTTTTTTCTCAGTTTTTTTAAAGTAGAGGGAGTATAGTGGAGGGAGAAATATGCAAATAAAGTGTGTATTCAGGCCTGAATCTAGGTTCCTTATTTCATATGATGATTGGTTTTAGGTGAATGAATAACAATTGCTTTCCAGACTTTAAGCACAATAATAGTTGGTCATTGAATATTTCAA